ATGCACAGATGGAGAATCCAAGAGTTGGGTTTGCTTCCAAACTTTCCAGTAATGGAAACACAAGGTTTGCTGCTGGGTGCGGTGGTGGTGGTGGTGATTGTTCTAGTACACTACTAGTGCTTGCTGGCTTTGCCACTATTGCTTTACCTCTCTCTCTCTCTCTCTCTCTCTCTCTCTCTGCTTCAGTCAATCAAAGCACAACCGCCATTATTTTTTGCTGTCATTTTTATACCAAGGGAACAAGTTATTAAAGAAAGACTTTAGGTACAGGATGAGAGAGAGAAAGTGTCAGATTTTCAGAGGAGAAGGTTTAGCTGATTTTCCTTTTTAATTAATTTGTTTTCTTTGCCTGCCTATTTTTGAGCCTTGAGTTATGAAATGAAAAATATGGGCACAGTGGTGATGATTTTTGCAGAAATAACCTTGAAATTTTGAAAAGTTAAATTGTGGAATAAACTAGGTAGCAGGGTTGCAAGAAAATATGTTGCTTTTAAAATTACAAGTAGATGCCCAAACACACTGTATGTGTAAACATTTTTTTTTATTTTATTTATTAAGGAGTGATTAGTTTCTAAAATTCTAAAGAAAAAAAATTATGAAATATGAGACAATGATGGGGCCATTTCTTCTAACATGGGCATATTTTTTTTATGTTTTTAAATAAGGTATGCTATATTACATGGCTGTATGATTTGTGTAAAAATAGTAAAATTACGTTGCATGTAACTATTAAATTGTCCATTTTTTTTTTTGTTCAATTTTGGTGAAGAGATTAGAATGGTAATTTTCTGGTATTTTACTTGACAAACAGGTCTATAAGTTGGTAGTTTGGATAATCTTATATACTCTAATTTACAGAAGAAAAAAACTTTAAAGGGGTGTTTGTTTTCCTTCACTAAGGTTCACTAGACTGGGCTGGACTGGACTAAAGGTTAGTCCAGTCCCATGTTTGTTCCTCATAGGTTTTAGAGTTAATGAGATTAGCTCTCACTCATTCAGACTAAAACAAGGCCTAACCAGTCTTAGCTAAGCCCCCCCAAAAACCATGGGATTGCTAATCCCATCTCCAAACTTGCGTAGGACGATCGCAAGCAGCAAGTCTTGTGAACTGCAAATCTGCAAGAATGCTTCTGGGCAACTCCGTTTGCCAACCCATGTCCAGATTTGAAACCCAGCACCACCCATTGCCTAAATCTCAACACCCAAATTCAAAAACATATATGCAAAACGATAACAACAACAATCCCAATAGCGAAATTCTTCCTTATTCCCGAAAATTCCCATAAAATTTCCAAATTTTTTTCCTTTTCCCTAGAAAATTTCAGAAAGAATAGATAGAGAAGGGGGGTGAGTAGCTTTGGGACAAAGAGAAATGGAGAGACAAAGAGGGAGGGGAGAGTAGCACGGGGACGATTTGCAAGAAGAATGATTTGAAGGATGTTGTGTTGCAGGAAAAAAGATGGAGAAAAGAAGTGATGGGGGACGAAACTAAAGAGGAAGAAAAGGAAATAACTCTCCAAAGTGAGAGGTGGAGTGTCTGCTTCAGAAATAAAAAAGAAAAAGCTTGATTTAGTAATAAAATATTATTAGATGTGTATTGTATAATATAATATTATAGTTTAGTAATTATCCTTTTTTTAGTCCGACACTGTACCAAACGCATCACTAAGTCAATCCAACTTAGTCTAGTCTAAGTCAGTCCAACTTAGTCTAGTCTAAGTCAATCTAACTTAGTCCATGAAGTTAATCAAGTCTGAAATAGTCCGATACAATAAACGTACCCTAAATTAGGTTTAAGGAGCGGTTACATTGCTTTTCTCAATTAGCCTGACTTGCGGTCATAAATTTTTTTCTCCATTTCATGTCCTCACTCATGGAATATGAGAAATAGAAATGAGATGATGATGTATACCTCATTGCACGATAAATCACTCACTTGAAGTGAGATATAAAAACATGAAGACGTGTGACTAGTTAAATGTTAAAATTTCGTATATAACCGATTGCATGGTAACAATTTTCGTGTGATGTGAGAAATAAAAAAATAATATATATATATATATATATATAATCCTTCAAATTTTCAAAAGATTAAAAAGAACAATGCATAACCAGTTAAATCCCTCATTTGATGTGAGAGATAGAAACATATAGATGTAAGACTAGTTACATGGTAAAATCTCTCACGTGAGGTGGGAGATAAAAAGACAAAAATGTACGACTAGTTGCATAATAAAATCTTTCGCATAATGTGAGAAATAGAAAAGAAAATTCTTATGTATAACTAATTACATGGTAAAATTTCTGATGTAAAATACGAAAAAGAGAAAGAAGACAATGTATAACCAGTTATGTACTAAAATTCCACCACCCATGGCAGTAAAAAACCAGTTTGAAATTTGGTATATAATGCATGGATTGATTAGATGGCACTATACATTTGTAGTATGGTGATAGAGTGATTGCTGGTAGCTATGGCTTGCAACTTGCAAGTATTTGCTGAGTCGAGATCCTTTTCGAATTTTTGTGTCTAGAAATCAAGCATTCATAAATTCAAGCCTTAAAGAAAGAGATATATGATCTTTGATTTATGTGATGTGAACTAATAAAATGAACTAATAAGAATCACAGAATTAAAATAAGTAGTTTGAATCTTTCAATTGATTGCCTCCGAACACAAAAATTCGAAGAAGATCTCAATTTAGTAATAGTTACTGCTCACTGCTCAGTACTCACTCTTTACACTGCTCATCCACTCAGTATTCTTGCACGGTCGAGATGGGCCAACACGGATTCCATCCACACATGAAATTATGAAAGTGCTATAATTAAATTCTGCCCATATTATCTCCACTGCTAAACTTCAAATTTGGCCGCAAAGTGAAATGCAATGATAGGCCTAGCTAGCATAAGAAATTCCAAGCATTTCATTGGTATAATCTGGCTTTAGATATTATTCTCTGAAAAAATTTGTTCATGTTGAAAAATAGTTGACATGACACAGCTGCAATTTAACTGAAACTCATTTATATGAGTTGCTTCTTAGCAGGGATCTTGTTACACTGTAGTAAAAATAGAACGATATGACTTATGCAATAATCATGTATTAACCGTATAGGACCATCATATTCTAAAAAAGTAAAAAGCTGCTCGTATATATGCTATTGTTGAAAATAATAGTGGGTAATGAATGCCCACATAGAAACTGAAGATATTGGGTAGATTTTCAATGCCCATAAAATTAATCTTGATTTGGGAGATGAAGAAATATTATATTGTCAAAGATGTGTGCTTGGAGTTGCTCTATAAATAGAGCATTCCGTATGCTTTCAATAGTGAGCAAAGAAAAAAAAAAGAGGAAGAGGAGAGGAGAGAATACATAGAGTTATCTTTGTACTCCTATTATTCAAATTATAATGAAAGCATCACTGCTACCCGAGGACGTACTCCAGTCACACTGACGGTAGAGGAACCTCGTAAATTTTGTGTCTTGTTTTATTTATTTCACTGCACATATACCGTTGATTTTACAACAGCTATGGAATTTTAATCTGGAATTTTTAAGTTATATGCGATCCAACGTAAGATGGGTATTATATAGAAGTCAAATCATGGGATGAAGCATTTGCCTGACCTACAATGTGACTCCAAAAATATTCATGGATTAGAGCCTTTTAAGAAAATCTAGGAGATCTTTAGGGAAAAAATAATAAAAATTAAGGAAGAATACGTCTCCAACAATAGTGGACTAGGTGGAGTGGCAGCTATGATCATTTGTGACTTAAAAAAATAAAAAAATAAAAGTCTACAAGGATAAGGAGGTTGGTTTACAAGAATGGGAATAGGTTATCATCGGTCAATGGGATTAAGATCCTCTCTAGACTAGTTTCATGCAGATGTTACAAACCAATTGATCGTAATCATTGATACAAATCCAACGGCCAAAAAAGTCTTCTCCTACAATCACGTCGTCTGCTTCTTCCTTTTACGTTTTGTCTCTCCAAAAGTCCCTCCCTTCACGGCCATGTCAGCTCCCTCTCTCCTCCAAAGGTAAAATATTTGTTCCATGTCCTCTTATGCTATGTTTGGTTGCCAATTAATTAACGATATTTCCAAAAAAATTGAAATTTTATGAGTGTGGTTCGGGATTCTCGAGTTTACTTGATTTTATATGATTAATAATCTGTTACTATGATTGTTCAATAAAATAATTTTATTCTGATAATTTTTGTTTCTCTCTCACTCATAATATAAACCGTAGTAAATAAATTATCGTTATTGTGGAGAAAAATGTGAGAGAAACTTGTGTCTTTTGAGAATTATCATATTCAATATATTTCAGAGATGATATTTCAGTTCAGATCACAGATATTTCAAAGATAACATAGTTTGTTATTTTTCTTTCTTTAGGTCCACCTGATCCATGGTTGTAGGGATGGCCTAGTAGAGATATATTAGATCATAGTCTCCATCTCATTTAATTCATACAACTATACATGGGACCGTATATAACTTGATTTCTTTTTTTTCTTTTTTTAACATGATCTATATGTTATTTTATTTTAATATAACCTAATCATATATTAGCATTTGGTAAAAAGTTATAAGGTCGGAAATTGGATGGTTCAAAGTTTTCGAAAGAAGTAATATATATATTTGTTGGATGGTGATAAGAATATATAACATGTAAAGATGATATGGTATTTATGTGACCTTGTTAAATTTTCATAGAGCTTTTAACCTGATTGAAGGAAATGTCACGCACCTAAAACTATTACTATGCTCTAAGAGCAAGTCCACCCCATCCCAATTGCCCAATCAATTGGGCAATTGAATCCTCCTAAACTCAAAAAACTCTTTCCACCATAGTCTAATTGGTCAGGCTACTTGTGGGCCCAAAACAACCAGATTGAGCAATCGGATAGGAATAGCCCAAGTGGGTGGCTGAGTCTATTTGACATTAGGTTGACGTCAATGACACTGAATCTGAACTTGTCTAATTATTTTATGGTGGAAGAAGACAATTGGCTTCGGAATGACATCTTACATACAACGTGTACTTCTCATGGCAAGGTATGCAATGTGATAATCGATGGGGGTAGCTGCGAAAACGAGATAGCTACTATTATGGTGGAGAAGTTGAATTTGAAAACGATGGATCACCCACGATCGTACAAGCTCTCTTGGCTGCACAAAGGGAATGAGGTAAAAGTGAATAAAAAGTGCTTAGTTCAATTTTCTTTTGGAAAAAAAAAAATTATAAAGAAATTACATGAACAGGTTCGGGAACGTATCATTAAGCAAAATAAGAAGTATCAAAGGCAAGCCAACAAGCACAGGAAGCCAGCTGCTTTCAAAGAAGGAAATTTGGTGTGGGTTCATCTTCACAAGGGAAGGTTCCCTCGAGGCAAGCATAGGAAGCTGAAACCACGAGCTGATGGTCCTTTCAAGGTACTCAAACGTGTAGGAGACAATGCTTACAAGATTGAACTTCCAAGAGACTATGGAGTATCAGCAACCTTCGATGTTGCAAGCCTTTCTCCTTATCATGGTTGCAAAGATGAAGAGAACTCGGGGACGGGTTATTATGCAGCGGAAGTATATGACACCGAATCTGGACTTGTCTAATTATAATATGGTGCATTTATTATATTTAATTCAAAGATGGTTCATGTTTCATTTAAGTTTATGATTAGTATTACATTAAGTTTATGCTTAGTAACTTATTCACGGAAGGTTGAAGGCTGTAACCTCTTCATGAAAGGTTGAAAGTTGTTCCATGCCTAGACTATTTAAAACCACTACTCATGTATGGAAATGGATCATTCAGAAATTAAGAATTACTTTTAAACTTGGTTTGGTGAAGAGTGTTTTTCTTCCTATTTGTAAACTACTCTCATTTCTTTGATGGATTCCTTAGAGTGATGAGTTGTTTATCTTTGAATGTTTACTTGTGATTTCTCTCTGATTTTCATTATCTAGTGTCAGTCAACCAAGTTATTTATTATTTGCGTCACTCTTTCAACGTGGATCTTGAGGAATCCAATAACGTTGGTTAGGAGAACAGACATGTAGCTGGAGCAATGGATCTGGACGGAGTTGCGAACCTACTTCTCCTAATGGATGCCGCCCCAGGAGGTGGAGGAGTAGTGACTCATATATAGAAGAATTAACTCTTAATTGAAATTCCTAATACAATTCTTTTCTTCCCGATAAGTCTTGTATCAACATTGCATTTTGGGGTGCATTTTCGAACACAATTGACGTTGTAACAAGGTGTCACCATTGTACGGAACATATGTACAAAAATACCTAACAAAGGCAAAAGGACGAAACCTAACCTTTCACTGAGGAGTGTGGAGAAAAATGGGTCTCAGGGAATTATGACGTGACATGACCACAAATTATTGCCTTTCCCATTGGTCGCTGTCAACCGTACCCTGAACTATACCACGAACAATACGTTACCCCACACGTACTACTACAATTTTACTACGTGCAGCTATACTACTACAAGCGACGTCAGTGGGAGAAATGTAATTTTGGACCTTCACCACCATTCTTTTGGTCGTCGGCATTGTTTTCCTCTTGTTTTTCTTGTTTTGGATTTCAAAGCTATAGTGCTAGATATTATATAAGAAAAACTAATAAAAAAAATTTGAAAACTTTGAGTTTTAATGATAAAAACAAAATAAAGGGTAAAATGAATAGTACTAGATTGACTTTTTAATGTAAAAATGTGGTTTTTCGTTAAAATAAATAGTACAGTGGGTTTTTCGTTAAAACTCTCTATTATATATAATATATGTGTGTGTATGCGTGTGTGTGTGTGTATATATATACACACAAGCCCTTTAAGGGAAATGATCCCTATTTTTCAAAAAAAAAATGGGGACATTCTCTTAACCATTAGATTTGACTTTAATGAAATTTTATGGCTGCGATTAAATCACAGAATCTCAACTACAGGATTCATTAAAGCCAAATCTAACGGTTAAGAGGATGATCCTCATTTTTTTTGAAAAATAGGGCTCCTTCCCCTTAAAGCTTCCTATATATATATATATATATATTTTTTTTTTTCCTTCTTGTTGGTGGATATAAAAGCTTGGTGTGGTGTTTTTGCCTAGTTCACTTGTTCGTAGGAGGGTCCTAGTGATGATGGGTACAGGGATTGAAGAAAGAAGTTTGGATAGAGAAAAGAGAAAAAACTGAACAAAGGCGACCAAGACTCGTTGATTTGTGTGGTGGGGGTGGGGCAAGGTAGCCGACGGTGTGGGAGGGTGTCGTTGGTGCCTTGCTAGGGTTGTGGGGGTTGTTGGCTGATATATTATTCTTTATTGCTTTATTTTTGTTAACACTTCACAGTTAATTGGGAGTCAATCAAGTGGATATATGTGAATCTTTAAAATTGACGTGTCATATCTTGAAACATTAGATTAATAAAATGGTAAAGATTTAATGAAATGTGAGTAAATGAGTAAGAATGCGAAATGTGTAAATGTAGAGACTCGGAATTCTATTGTGACTTTAGGCAAGAATTATCACTGATGTTAAATCAATTAAGTGAACTGTGATAAGAATTTGAATTCTAGCTAGCTAAAGACCAAAAAGTCCAAGTGGAGAATATTACCGTCCCTTTCAAGCTTCAATCATATTCCTAATCAAAGCCTGCTTAGATTTTAATATCCAATGAAGTTTATATACGGTATTTAACAAGAAACCAAGATTCTTAAGTTTTTCCTTTTGTTTCATCTTCTCAAATTATTAGCAACAAGAAAATTAAGAAACCTTTTCTTTGAGGAGTGAGCATGTTATTAAAAGTTCTTCTAACAGTAGAATATGCATAAAGATATTTATTCTGCATGCTACCTCTATATGATATAATGATTTAAGTCAAAATATAATAAAATACAAATATGGTTTATATATTATCATTAGAACTTACTCGTCTTTATTTCACAAAATTAAACAAATTAACTTTAGTTTACCATCTAAGAGGTCTTAGGTGAGATTGATACCTAAATATAAGAATCAGCACCGTAAATTTTTTTCGTATTACACTATTGTCCCACTTGTGTGAGTTTAATAAAAGTGAGTCATATATTAAATGTGAGACCATTCTACTTTTTCCTTTTGCATATTTTATGATTGGTCGCCTCTTTTCTCTCTTGTCATTTATTGTATTAATTACACTCATGCGTTCAGTATATTAAACTCATAAATATGAATCACTCTCATTGCACTTAGATTTTCTAGCTCATTGTAGGAGTTTGATTTTTATATTATTGGTAGCACTCTCAATTTTTTTAACTCAATATGAAAGGCTTAGTATAGATATCGATGTATTAAAAAAATTAGAAAAATACCCTTCTTATGTGACTACCCACATCGCCCAGGAGAGTGGATCTTGTAAGCTTTATATGTATATTCTCATTTCTACCTAGCACGAGGCCTTTTGGGAGCTCATTGGCTTTTGGTTCCATCGGAACTCTGAAGTTAAGCGAGTTCGCGCAAGAGCAATCCCAAGATAGATGACTCCCTGGGAAGTTCTCGTGTGAACGACGGTGGAGTTAGTCTAGGATGTGGTGGGGGCCCAGATGTGACATCTTACCTTACATTGAGAAAAAGGTTTTGCAAGTGAGAATTAGTAGGGAACATGATAACCAGATTAATCCCTTAAAGGGATCAAGATCCTCTCCTGATCTAAGGATGAGGATCCTTCTGATCAAAGAATGTAGGCCGTTAGATAAAAATCTAACGGTTATAATTATTATAACTTTAAAAGGACCTCCTGTTTGTAGCCGTTAGATTTTCATCCAACGGCCCACGCTCCTTGGTCAAGAAGATCCTCATCCTTAGATCAGGAGAGGATCCTGATGTTTATTTTATTTTATATAAAACTTATAATTGTTAGGGTATTTTCTAATTTTATATTATTTCAATCGTAAATATAGATTTACATAAAATTATACAAAAAGGCAATAATTAAAACTATGAATTGTATTGTATTATTGTGCCGTGTGGAATTTGAAAACTTTCAATTAGCAGTACCCACCTCTCAAACAGTCAAATCATGAGTACGAGAGGTTTCAAAAAATTTGGATAAGAGAAGCACCACCGACTCGTGTTACTTATCAAGTGCATTGTATAATTACAAAACATGCAATCGATCTTTTTCTCCAGAAGCTGGAGGAAGACGATAGGTAGGAGTTCAGTACTGGTTTTGTACTAATATATTTTTATGAAATGTGAAAATAAAAAAAATTAAGTTTAAAAAGATATTTGGTAAATATTTGAAAACAACTTATTTTTATAGTTTTTGATGAAAAAAAATTGAAAACGTAAAACAACAAAAATGAGCTTATTTTCACAGTACAACAAAAATAATTTTTTTTTAAAGTACAGCAATAACGAACCAGCCATGAATAGGATCCCATTGAGTGAGCCGAATTAACGACCTAATTGTATGGCCAGAGTCGCAAAATTTTAAGATTCAAACAAGGTGTCTTGCAAGCAGATCACACCCCAACAAAATTCGTGGGTCCTAAGCACGTTCTTTGATGATCAAGTTTTGCTTTTTTTTTATTTTTATGTTTTAGATTTCCTTTTACTTTGGAGAGAGCAAATGAATGAGATTTGCCTTAAAACTAACATAAAATACATACATTATTGCTAACCTACTGTGAAACTTAATAATATGGTATGTTTTCAATATTTGAAGTGTGATAAATAAAATATGGGGTGTTAATAAAACAACCTATTAAAATAAAAGAAGTTTGCTATAATTTCATGCAAAGCATAACTAGTCCATCTTGTTTGTATGTTATACAATCTTTTTAAGTAGCTTAGATAAACTCGTTTAATTTTTTAATTCTTCAAGACACATTCAACTGTTAAATTTAATTATACGTGCTACACATTGATGTATTCAATTTTCATAGTGGAATATCTAAAAAGTTTGCTATGATTTTTAACTTCATTTTTCATTCACAATAATAATTAACACTGACCATGATTTTTAAGTGAATAAACACTTAATACTACAGTCGAGTGGCGTTCCTCTTTACTTGTAAGTAAGAGGTCTTAGGTTCGATTATCGCCGAAAGAGAATTTGAACTACTTCATTGCTAGCTTATTGTGAGACTAAATTTACCCTCTTAATGTAGATCATTTCGTTTATTTATTTATTTATTTAAATTTGGTTTTAAAAAAAAAATTAAAAATTAATTGAGTGAGAGGAGCATGCCAGCGTAGCTTGTAGGGTTTTTGATATCGATATTCTTCTTCTGGGTAAAAAAACGATCGGTGAGACGTCAAGAGAAAAAGCGACAGCTCACCACCTAGATTTGTGGGTCCCAATCAATTCCTCTCTCTAGATTTCCTCGTTTACCTTTTTGACGCGACGTGATTGGAATATGGGCTTCCCCCACGCTCGTCTTCACACGCGCGTGGCCCCAGACGCTCATAATTCATCACCATCCATGGAAATCCATTGCCCTCTCCTCTACTACGTACCTTTTGCGTTATCCATTATTCTATCGACGATATCAAATCTTCTACACATAAAATCATAACTTCGTATCATAATTATTGACTCACATGTACTTATAAAATTCAATTTTCTTAGCTGTATTATCATAAATTTAATATATGTCAAACATAATTAAGATCGTAAAAATACCACGTTTATTTTAAATACAGAAAATATGATATGCCCTTCCCTTCCCCTTCCTTAATAAATTCTCCAAAATATGTGGATATTCTCAAAACGCATGAAGGTTGACTCGACATGAACTTTACCTAATATTCCAAACAAAAAAAAAGTGTATATTTCAAGTGCTTCAAGAGTTTTGAATAGAATAATACTTGGCTACTTAAATTTGTTTGTTGTTGATTTATAGATTTCGTGTTTATAATTGAAACCGTTCATATCATAAATCACTCTGTAGATATCGTATCTGCAAAAAATCAATTAAAACTAAGGTAGTTTAGTCATTAAATTGTATAAACACAGATAAATGGAATTGGTAAAAGTTCTACGAACTATCTATGTATTTGCTACAATAGATTAACTAAATAACCTTAGTTTTGATTATTTTTTGCGTGGTGATCTTTACAGAATGTTAATAGTTGCAACGAGGACGTCGGTGGACCACATTGTGAGACGGACCTAAGCAGGCTTCTATAATTTGTTTCTTGATAATTAAGGTAAAATTTCATCTAAAATTTCTTACACAATTCTATTTCTAAACTAAATTAGCAAGGGCTTTTATGTGCATGTAACTCTTATTTCCTATTGGTGATGGTGATGATGGAAAGAACTATAGCCCATGCTCAAAAAGCTTAGAATTGATACGACTCAACTGATCAAGCCCAAACATTTGTGTTGCCTGTACAAGTGCATAGCGGAATAGGGGAAAAACACAATGTCAATTTGGTATGACCAAAACCCTAATTTCTTCACTAATAAGAAGCATTCACCCATATGATATTGACCTAACTTGTTTATTGTTTAGTTAAAAAAAGTTGTGTCACAACTTCATGTCAAGTGTTAGTCAACTTCGAGCTGATGTATTTGTGTTCAGTTTGAGTACACCTCTAATTAGACATGATAGAAAAACGACAAGACGTACACAGTTAAACTTTGAAGCATATAGTCCTAATCGGACAATTAGAGTTTACACTAAGCAAGTGAGGAATATGGAAAAAGTACATAACAACATGACATGCAAATGGGCAGGCAAAGACTAACAAACAGATGATTAGCATGGAGCCCATGTGTTAATTATGATTAAGTGTGGGTTGTGACCAAGAACATACACTAATTAACGAAAACGAAAGGTCGAAAGGCGGAAAGGGCACTTAGTTAATGATGACGATTAGCATAATTAAAAAGGATTAGAACCACTAGTGAGGACTGTGGAGGGAATGACCCTTCTCAAAAATATGATCGCATCCAAACAGCATACAATGCTGGAAAGACACAAACACAGAATCAAACTTAGTTGACCAAATAGAAATAAAAATGGTGGGAAGGGGGGGGCAAGGCAAGAAAGCAAGCCAGCATTACTTAGATTTTTTCTTGACCATGTTTTGGGTGACAGAAACTGTCGTCATTAGTAAAATCTGCTTTGATTAGTTCTGATGTTTTTGCTGCCAGCAAGCATCCCTAATCATTTCTCCATCATCTCTTACTTTCAAGTCATATATATACATATATAGATATATGTGTATGTATGTATAAATACACACACACACACACACACAAAGAGACTGTACAGTAATCAAGGTTTGTTTCTCGATTAGTCCAATCTAATTGGGGACATAAGCAGAACCCTAATATAATGTGTCTTCTTTTAGGTATCATTGTCTGCATAAAGCTGTTTAGGGTTTATACGCAATGCATGCTCAACAAATAAATAATAATTAACATAGTTCTCATTTAATATAAACAATACTCTACTTTAATGGAAATCAGGAATTAGACTAGACCACAATACGAGTTACTTACCGTTAGAAATTAAATTGAACACAAATATTATACGTTATACGTTCTTGTTAAGAATCTATGCATATATATTTTTAACGATTTATTAATATATTTGATAATTTGAGGTCCAACTAAGAATATGTGCTCATACCTAAATGGGTCCACTTTATAAACCCATCAACTTTGACCCCTGAAAGCGTGAAATGTTTTAATCAACTTGTTCTAAAGCTTTAATTTTGGTTTTTGTACATTGATGCCTGAACCTAAACAGAATAAGTGGGATCCAAATGATTATTATATTTAATTGAGTGTTAATGTGAAGCAAAGAAGAGGTTAATATAATTAAAAGCACTTTCAAGATCTTGCAGAGGCATCAGATAGATAGTGTAGGCCAGAGGGAAATTCATTAATTAATTAAGGTGGATTAGCTAAGCACCTGAGCATCTTGATTAGCAAATACTTAATTTGTTCTGGAAGTCACTAAGTGGGCAATTTGCTTACGTAAGAGAATCTAACCTGAGGCCAAAATCTAAAAGAGCTTTTGCTCTCGTGATCCAGAAATATTTTGATGTAATCGTCGCGCTTTACGCAATATTATATGTCATAACATATACTTTCTTGTATTATTTATTAATGCGTGAATTAATAACATTCTGCGACGTTGAGAAGTTAATAGTCAAAAGTTTCTCCTCGTTTATCTGTATGTTGTCTTGGTTTGGCTTTTTCTACACAACGTTGGACGATCCATTTATATGTGGCCCGTTGTATCTTGTAAGGCCCACTTGAATTGCCCCTGATGTCATGGACATAAATTAGTTTGTAAAACAGTATTTCTGCTTTGAAAATATTATTATGGAAACTTTTAATACAATAGAAGTGTTTTCAATCTCTTAATATTATAACACGTATACTGAAGAAGTTTTTTTTTTATCTACACTAAGGAGGAGGGACGGACTTAACCTCAAAATAGGCTAGCAATAACGTGGATTGAATTCGCATTTGACGAGAAAAGTTTTTTTTTTTTTAACAAACGATATTATCCACACTATCTACACTAAGGGGAAGGGGTGGGCCTAGCCTCATAATGGGCTAGCAATAACGTGGATCAAATTCGCATTTGGTGATAATCAAACCTAATATCTCTCACTTACAAGTAAAAAGGAATACCACTAGACTGTAATACTAAGTGGTGCCTCACTGAAGAAGTTGAGGTTTCACTCTAAAACAATTGGCAAAGTCCAACTACTTATAAGCACATATAGAGTCTACTTTTTTCGATATGAGATTCACTCTCAACACGTCCTCTCATGTATGACAAATTTTTAAGTCTAACATGTGGACAACATAGATTGGGTGGCGTGAAGCACGTATGACCTGCTTTGATACCACAAAGAAGTTGAGGCTCCACCATAAAACTAATTGGCAATATGAAAAAGACTAACTACTTGTAAGTACATGTAAGTCCCTCCCTTCCACGATGTGGAATTCATCCTAACCTCCATAAATGGAAAATTATTTTTCTCTTTTTACAAACCTCTAGTTATACAACCGATTATACTTAATGGAATAAGGCTTTGTTGTCCTTCGTGTTTTTCTCTTTTACAAACCTCTTATCTATATTTTTCTATTGATTCTTCTTTGATTTATCCCATCTAAAGACCAGAAATAAACAGTGTTATGCAAAGATAAAAAAAAGGCCTGTGCGCTTATAAAATTGTGTGAGCGAAGTTTCCCTGCAAGAAATGCACGAGGACTTTTTTAGAGTTCCGATCACAATTCCCTTTGATCATCAGTAACTTTCATCCATGTAGAAAATTGTGTGACTTTTGTCTAATTTATACTTAACTTAGTTTTATTGCTGGACTACATATTGCACGCACCTACATCTTCATCGCCTACTTCTCTGTGAATCTCAAAAGGCCAAAATCTTCCAAAGAACGTAATCTACACGTCTTCCTCAAAGTCCATCAGAAAGTCAGTTAAGTTCTCTGAATCGTCTACAGCTTCTTCCAAAGACATGCTGTCGTTCTTTTTCGGTTTATCCTGCAGGATTGACAGAAAAAAATACTTAAGAAATACATTTACTTGAAAAGGATAAGAAATGGTTAGCATGTAAATGCATTTGATGCAAGTTTAACCAGCTAGCGTTCGATAATCTTTTGCTGCTGTGCACAGAGATCCCAGACCATCTACTACAATACAAGTACGTCATAAAACCCGACATTGAAATAATATCATATGGCAACCAGACATTTAGATAATGACATTTGGATATGTCAAACAACCAAAAGTTTTAATACGAAAACATGCTGCAAAACTGAGAAATGAGAATCACCTTTGACTTGGTAAGCTCAGGAGTAGTTTTCAAAACACTCCAGTTGCGTGTGATTTTCTCTCCTTGTTCATCAACCTCGGTTTCACTATCTTCTCCTTCATCCTATTATAAACAGTGTCAAATAAGATTTCAGTTTCATACATAACAACCATAACTGGATTACAAGTATGCTGGATAGCTACATTTAACCTGCATCGGTGTTGGTGTAAGAACACGCAATATGGAACTAATGTATCTGAAGCAATTAAACTTACGTCTTCACCGATGTCAACTGCTTGTGCCATAGCTTCTTCTATATCAGGTGCCTGCAATATAAGAGTTAAACAAAGAACAGCTGGATTAGATGTTTTGCTTCCACACATTCTATTACGTTTCAAATCTTCCAATCAAATAAAGTTTTCGGCAATAAGCTACAATAAACATATTTTGACATTTGATCGCAGAAATGATCAGTGTTTATTATGTTGTCATTATATCATCGTTGTGTTGTTGTTATGTCAGTCATGCTGTGTCATCAAGATATGATCAAACCTGTTGTCGTTACTAAAAACTGATCATTTCTGCAAACCAAATGTCACAATATGTTTACTGTAGGTAGTTTCCCTAAAGTTTTGTACATTTACTTTAGGATTATAACCAGAATATGCGGCAGGTCTTTAACGAACAAGGGCAGGATCTCATATATAAGATGCTCTTTGCACTATAGGGGTTGAATACGATAATGGTTGTCACTAATTAGGAAAGGCATTGCCTGAACTCAGGATAGGTATATCATATCGATGCTGAACTTTTTATGAAGCATGCAGTGAGCCTTTGTTTGTCAGTACACTCTGCATGTGGAATCGTTGCACAGCGGAGAGGTGGCAAATCAACCCATTGGGTTGCTAATGCTTAATGGGTAATCATTAAGACCCATTCAATTTGATTTCACCCCAATGGATGATTTGCCACCTCAGACAGCCCTTTAGTGGGAGTTTGCCACCCAGGCATTATGCAGTGAACCTATCTGTGGTGTTAAATTTTAGTCCAAATGGACAAAAAATGACACATTTAAAATCCATAGCATCACTCGAGGAGCTGACCCAAAGCTCAAAAGAAGAAGAGCAACCTTTGGAAAATTGATAACTCAACTTGGAGAAAGACTAATAAAGCTTTGTTAACAATGGAGGTGGAATCGAGAGAGTATTTTCATACGATAACAAGAAATAGTTAATCGTGTGCACATTCTCTGTTATTCAAGTTTCTAGACAGATAGTTCATCAGACTAACTAAACTTTACACAGTCAATTGATTACCTCAAGCTCTTGAGTCTTCTCTTTTGACAGAATTTTCTCAAGCTCCTCCCTTGATATGATTTTTTTGTGCTGATTACAGAGCAGGAAAGTAAGAACGTAAGTAAAAAAATAATGATACAGCAGATGCTATAGAAATCCAGTGAGCCAAATAATAAAAAGAAAAAGAAAAAAAAAAAGGGGAATGTGAAAAGTGCCGACCTCCTTCAGAAAAGACAGCATATCTGGTGTCGGTTCATGAAAATCTGCGCCTCTGTAATCAATCACTTCATCTGGATCTTGAATATAGTTCACAGTTGGGTAAACAGGATCTCCGCCCCATACTGCAAGGCCAAATAAATTAGTCAACAAACTACACTGCATCATTAAACATGTTTAATGAAACTACAGTGTAACTGGTGAATAACAGATGACAAACTAAAGTACTGAATTAAAAATGTACAAGAATGCATCACTTATCCATTTAAGTTAGAAACCTTTTTTAAATGAACTGAACTCTCTCAGGGGTCGAAATGATTAATAGAGATATAAAGAACGTAATTCATGATAATAATGCACAAAATTATCAGCTTTAGAGTGAGTACTTTGCTTGATTTGATCCTCTCGCATACGCATTGCTAAGGGGTCCCTACGTATACGGGTATCTGTCCCCATCATTATGCGATACTCTCGATCTGTTTGATGAGAAAACATTTCAATTAGTTGGGTTGTTTCATTTTCACCAGTCTCTTCATAATGTTTCTGAACAGCTTCTCGAGAAGTGTCCCTTTTCCACGCTTTTACCCATTCCGAATAGTATGCAAGTGGACCTGTTCTATCCAGTCTTTCTTGTTCCGCTTGAAGCCTACAAATTCAGCAGCTACATGAAAAATCCATAAAAGGAAAAAAAAAACTCCATAGAACTTTTAAGTGAATATTATGAGGTCACAAGGCAATCACTACATGTAAACAAACTAAGACAGAGAAGCAGGTGCAAGGAAAAGCCTAACCTAAATAAATCCTAACCTAAGACACAAACCACTCTAAGTTGACAATGCAAAGTCCCAAGAGAGACTTCCATAAGCAAAGGATTCGAAAACCAAGAGCTGAGCACTGGAACCATCCTTTCCTCTCTTTTAGTTTGATTAATGTTTCTCAAATCGTTATCACTCTCCTTTATAGTTAATACTGTCCGAAAGATGACAAAACCAATCATCAATATTCACCAGATCCTAGTTTTCTTTTGCTTCAGTTACATACATAATCCTATACTACATATATATGTCTGCCCATATAATATTATATTTGCATATACAGAAGATTCTTATAATATTCATCAATTATACCTTTCTTCCTTGAAAAGATGTCGTCTTGCTCTGTAAAGTGAAGTTTCCGTCAATGTTGGATTTTCACCATAAAGCTTTACCTGCCCAGTCTCTGCCATTGCTTTGAGAAAAACCTGAAGAAGTTGAAAGACAATATCAACGTGAAAGTCAAAGACCACTTTCCTTCTGATATTCCAGTTCCCCAGTTCGTTTATGAATTGATTACATGGGCGCTTTAACAACAAATGAGCGTATATTGATATCATCCATATATATAATACAAGCAACATTGCTTTTTGTAACAACCTCATGTAAACAAGATCCAAACGTTGAAATCCAAAATGATATGCATGGTTCAAATCAACTCTACATAAAAAATTTGGCTTACAAATCCCTTGAATATGGCCCGTGAGCCTTAAATCATAATTTTCAAATTAAATACAACATTATCATATTTCTCCATTATATATACGAAAGCACTAACCGTTTCAGAATCAGGTCGTCTCCTTTGCCATCTGGACCAATTTTCTTTCTCTGGTTTTCTCCAGTTCCACCATAGCTCATCACTTGTGAGTGGCTCACCTAGTGGCTTCCTTGTTTCTGGATCAATAAAGGGATGAGGACGTCCGAGTTTCTTGTCCAGGTCAAATCCTGTTTCTTCTTCTTTTTCAGGTTCAGTCTGATACACAACATATTCAGATGGGGTATCTTTAGGATCCTCTAGTGCGTCCTCTGAAGTTTCTGGTTCCAGCAGTTCCACTGCCACTGTATCACTTGACTCTACACTTTGCTCAGTAGATTCACTGGCAGCAACTGATGTTTTATTCTTCCTCCTCCTACTTCCAGGATTTTTACCATAAGATGGTGATCCAACTGACTTACCAGTAGGCTCAGGAGCCCTGGCAGCCCTAACTCGACTAGCTGTGCCTTCAGGCCAATAATCCTGCCCTGGAATGCTGGCACGAGCACCAGATGCGGGTTCAAGCTGCCCAGATGTCGAGTCCATATAACTATCGTAGGGTGGACGCTCAATAGAGACCTCTTTGGAGGACTCATCATCCTTCTCACACTTTATACAAGGAAGTAAAGGTGCCCTCTTTGGCAATAGATTCGAGCCAACTCTAACTTGGAATAATCCAACTGGAAATGAACTTACAGTTGATGCCTGTACCATGCACATAAAATTATATATGACCAAATTAGCATGACGATAAATGGCTAAAAAAACCAATGAAGTGTCCTTTATATTACAAATCACCCATGTTTAATTACTAAAGAAATCATTTCACAGTGAAAAAGAGATTGAGTATCGAAAGCCTAAAATTCAAGCAACACAATTAATAAACATTAAAAGAAAAACAAGAGGAAATCCAAAATAACCGGAGAGGCGTAGACACAAACACATATGTGTACATGTAAAATTGAATAAATTGAGAAGAATATAAACCTTGGGGTGATTGAAACATGGCTTCCCAGAAGCATGGCTCTGTGCTGAGACTACACCTATCAATCCCCTATCTGACAAAAGCACACCACAAATTGTGACAAAAAGGATACAAAAAAGTTTAGGGGGAGAGAAGGCTACCCCATCTCACGGCCAGCGGCCAGGCATACCACAAGCCGCTTTGAGGACTTAATACAAAATTATCTTCGTTATTAAATAAGAACAAATGAGCTCACCTTGATACAGCCAAGTTCCTGGTAGAGATGCCATTTTTCACTTCAACGCAGCATAAATATCACCAAAATCTGAAGAAAAAAAAATCAAACCAAACCAAACTTATTTGTTTAAAAAAAAAAAAAAAAAAAAAAAAAAAAAAACCACTTTGGGTACCAAGCAAATTTACACTACCAACTGCTTTAATTGCAAAGAAATCGAAAAGTTATAATCTTGCACTACAAATCATTTTGTAACAAAAAAATAGTGGGAAAAAAGGTACAACTGAAATGAACTGAACTGAACTTTGAGGGAATGAAATGCCCCTTTATATTCCGAATTTTGAAAACTGGAGTTGGAGAGCCTGGTTCAACTGCTGGCTAGCGATTCGTTTCTGTAGAGACGAAGGTTTGAATTGGTGCTGGGGATTAAAGTTTGGAGCTTTCAGTTATGGGGTCACCCGCTCCAGAGTGAGAAGTGAAGACGGAGAGGGGGACTGAGAGAGGGTTTTGGAAAATTGGATAAGGGGCTTTGCTTTTATTTATTTAATTTTCCCCTTTTATTTATTTAATTTTCTACTTTAAAATAGTCCAACATGACTTAATAAGAAAAATCTTCAAACAGTATGATTTCATGTTACTTATCACGTCAGATAATTGTGATACAAAGTTTTTATCGTTCTGATATTTTTCTTTTGGATATGAAGACCTTCATCACGTCATTCGTAAAACATTTAAGTATGAGATATTATAAATTTTAGTATCATTCTATTTGCGCTGATTTCAATCAATCACAGAGTTGTTTTAATATTTCAATTCAATTATACACGGTATTTCTTTCATCTTCTCTCCTCTTCTTGTGATTAAAATTAACACTATATTTAGATGATGAAATTTAAGATTACTAAGGATTTTAAAATGACGGAATTTTATTTCTAGAATTTGTGAATTTTCTTGTTTAATGAAATTGAATATGAAATTTGTTATTTTTAAACGCTCGATCATAAAAATTGGGAAATGACACATATTTGCATGGAATTCAAATTTGAGAATTAGATGTTCCAAATTCAAGTTATTTTTTAAGCGAAAATTGAATCTAAACAAATAAAATAATGCATGTTAATTTATAAATTCTAATTTTTATTCAAATTTTAAATTTATTTTCTTCGTTCAAACATCGGGTAAGAGAACCGCTTTTTTTAATTAGTTAAAATTTTATTTAACAACAAACAATAGGTTGGAAGTTTGTTTAATTTGTTACAACAAAAGAGGAGCATGAAACCGTGACATCATGGTTTGGTGGTTGGTGACCGACCAACATCTCACGAAAACACTTGTTGAATCAATTTGTTAAATAAAAAAAACAGAAAAAAAGGAAAATAAAAACCTAAAAGAAATGGGGAATGAAATCTACCGACCAACATTTCCCGTTTCAGTCAAATATCTTCTTAATTTCTCCCAATGCATTTTCCCATTTAACACAACATTCCCTCCCTACCTTCCCCCACGCCCTTCTGCTCCTCTGCTCAGCGATCTGCCAGTCTGCATAGGGTTTTTCTCGCCCATCTGCATTGCCATTGCGGGGTCTGTTCATCTTGGTCGAGATCGAACTGTTTGGAGAATGCCGGTGAGACTGTTGACATTTTAAGCTTTTCTGACTTGAAATTTTTGATGGGTTTTCCACTTTTCCTGCATTGTGTTGCTGAATTGTGACGTTGATTGGATTCTTGAACTCGATCTCTCCGAACCCGTTGGGGGGTTCGAGTTCTCTCACTGTACGATGCTTTGTATTTCTTGCCATTGTTGATTTGGATTTGGTTTCTTCTTGAGGATTTGGAAAGCTTTGGTTTTGGAGTTTTTCTTGGGTTTGGAGCTTGAATTGGGTTTCTTTTTGTGATTGAAGAAATGGGTATTGGAGTTGGAGGAACTGTTTGGTGGTGGTTGTTGTTGTAGAGTATATTGCAGTCTGTGTATTGGTTTCGTAAAGATGAAGAGGCTAAAAATTGAACCTTCAGTTGCGAGGAGGTTCAAATTGCAGCATTTGTTGTTTGGTATAGCGGCATTGTACTTGGTCTTCATATCCTTTAAGTTTCCCCAGTTTCTTGAGATAGCAAAGACGCTGAGTGGTGATGATAGTTATGATGGATTGGAACTGGTCGAAGATGTGGATTTGAGTAAACCGTTATTTAATTCTGTTTATAAGGACACGTTTCATCGCAAATTGGAAGACCAAAACCAAGATGCGCCTGTGAGGCCTAGGAAGGAACCTTTGGAAGAGAGTAAAGGTGGATCTAAGCCTATAAAGCCACTACAACATCAATATGGTCGGATCACTGGTGAGATTATGAGGCGAAGAAATAGAACTAATGAACTTTCGGTGCTTGAGAGGATGGCAGATGAGGCTTGGACATTGGGTTTAAGTGCTTGGGAAGAAGTGGGTAAACTTGATGGGAAGGAGATTGGAGAGAGTTCTATAATTGAGGGAAAACCTGAGTCATGTCCTTCATGGTTATCAATGAGTGGGGAAGAATTGGCAACAGGAGATAAGTTGATGTTTCTTCCTTGTGGGCTTGCTGCAGGTTCTTCAATTACGGTGGTGGGAACATCCCATTATGCTCACGAGGAGTATGTGCCCCAGCTTGCAAAGTTGAGGAGGGGTGATGGAACAGTTATGGTCTCGCAGTTCATGGTTGAGTTGCAAGGGCTGAAGTCAGTAGATGGGGAAGACCCGCCAAAAATACTGCACTTGAATCCACGATTAAAAGGTGATTGGAGTAAGCAGCCAGTCATTGAGCACAACACCTGTTACAGGATGCAATGGGGAACAGCTCAAAGGTGTGACGGCTTACCATCCAAGAGCAATGAAGACATGCTAGGTAAAAGTTTTCCATTCATTTAGAAGATAAAGTCCTTCATTGTATTTCTGCAGCCATGATATTTGTAAAAAGGCATGAATATTCATGAAAGTACAAAACTAAAGAAAAAAACATGAGTATACCTCTGTATGAATAATACTAATGCTGTTGATTCTGAAGATTGTATATATAAACCATTGTCTATACCTTTTGGGTTATGACATAACTTTAATGCACATATGTGGCAGTTGATGGATATGGGAGATGTGAAAAGTGGATGCGGAATGGTATGGACTCAAAGGAGTCCAAGACCAAGACTACCTCATGGTTCAAACGATTCATAGGGCGTGAGCAGAAGCCAGAAGTAACCTGGCCATTTCCGTTTACAGAGGGTAGATTGTTTGTCCTGACCATACGTGCTGGTGTGGATGGATTCCATACTAGTGTTGGGGGCAAGCATGTCACTTCATTTCCATATCGGATGGTATGTCAGATAAATGAGTAACTTACTTATGTTGCTTATGCTTTGCCTCTGACATTGCACGGATGTGCTAAGGCCATAGTTATGATTAATGATCATATCTGTTCTTAAGCATCTGGTTGTGTCATTTCAGTTTTATTTCTTGTATTCCTTCCCATCAATAGCGGTGCACTTTTTTCTAATTATTTTTATCCTTTAACTTTAGGGTTTTACACTTCAAGATGCAACTGGATTAGCAATTAAAGGAGATGTTGATGTTCACTCTGTTTATGCTACTTCTCTTCCCGCTTCTCATCCAAGTTTCTCACCTCAAACAGTACTGGAGATGGCAGAGAAGTGGAAAGCTCGTCCTTTACCAAAGAGACCTTTTCAGCTGTTTATTGGGGTTCTTTCTGCTACAAATCACTTTGCAGAGCGCATGGCAGTGAGAAAAACTTGGATGCAATCATCAGCAATCAAGTCCTCCAATGTAGTAGTCCGTTTCTTTGTTGCATTGGTAAGTTTATTGCTTTTAGCTATTCAATAATTGGTTTTGTATTAAGAGTTGAGCAGTCAGGTCCCAGGATCTGGTGTGCTGACATTTTTACAAGATTATGTCCTATCTATTGCCAGAACAACAGAAATCCTCTACATTTATAAGGCTGGAGAACAAATATTACACAAGTCCTTGTTTCTTTAAAAGTATAACGTCCTTGAGTATTTATATCTCATCATGCATGAGAAGATATAGGTGTGGCTGTAATTGATCAAAAGTGTGCGATTCAGTCTTCCAAGCTTTCTGTTTGTTATCTATTTTGAAGTTCTAGCTCCAATTGTAAACCTCTGTTTATGCTTGTAACTAATTTATTTGCTCCTTTCAAGCTTGGATTTTGTTTGTGTTAAAAAGATTCTTTGACTGAAAGAGGAAGAAATTCTGGATTGGTTTTGTTTCCCTTTCATAACGTCAGACAGGCCAGATTAATGTCTATCTTTTATTGCGTAGATGCTGATGTAGATATGTGTTTGAATTGTATGGGCTCAATTACCTGATATGGAATGTACGTAGTAAAGTTGATTGGATGAAAGAAAACTACTTGTTCTAAATGGAATGAGTTGATTCAAATTTTATACCTGGATCATTTTACAATATTTATTTTAGCAAAAAAAAGTGAATTGTTCCTACAGGTGCAGGGCAGTGATAGCATGACCCACCCTTCAGTGGGAATTGGCTTGAATTTTAGCCTTAGGGTTGTAACCTTTGAATTTGCCTAGCAATAAAAAAGTAATGAATTTGAATTACGGCACTCAGTGACTTGTAGATTGATGAGTTTCAATCTTATTTTGAAACTGTTTCTGTTTTATATGAATCTGTTCCTTCAACATTTGGTTTACTAATTATTAAGTTTTGCAGAATCCAAGGAAGGAGGTAAATCAAATGCTGAAGAAAGAGGCTGCTTACTTTGGTGATATTGTTATTTTGCCCTTTATGGATCGATACGAGCTTGTTGTTCTGAAAACCATTTCTATTTGTGAGTTTGGGGTGAGTTCAGTTTATTCTCCAGTATTTGTCGTTCAGTATACATATTACATATATATTGTTATAAATAAAAAAGGTTATGTATCTGTAATTTAGTAAACCATTCAACTGGCCTTTTCTGAGCTTGTATTCGTTGTATTTAAAAGCTTTAACATCTTGATGCAGTCTCAGAACGTGACAGCTGCATACATCATGAAATGTGACGATGACACATTTGTTAGAGTGGACACTGTCTTAAAGGAAATTGTGGGCATCTCTTCTAAAAAATCCCTTTATATGGGCAATCTTAACCTCTTGCATCGCCCACTCAGAAGTGGAAAATGGGCTGTAACCTATGAGGTATGCAAGTTTGCGTGCATCTCTACTTGGTTCTCAAGTCACCCAGTTATCTGCTTTTGTTTAAGAGTTGCATTTGATAAGCTGTCTTGTGGGTTTTTGGAGTGTCATGAATGATCCATCCTGTTTAGTAGGAGCTTCTTTTCTTAATCGTATATTCTGAAAATTGGATATAGTGGTTGGACCCAAGTCAATTGCAGCTCCATGGTTCCAATAGAATCATATTGAATGGACAAGAAATAATTTCCATGCATAGGGCTCCTTCCCTACTGTTGTCGCTGTTATCTAATTGTAATTCATTTTTAGTTTTCCCCTGAGAGGATTAAAAGTTTTCAAAGAGGATGGACGTTAATCCCTTTATGTTTGTATTTTTTCTTCTATTCTTCTTTCTCTCTCCCTCTGAAGCATTATTGTCTATTGTGACAGGAGTGGCCGGAAGAAGTTTATCCTCCATATGCCAATGGCCCTGGATATGTAATTTCCATTGATATTGCTAAGTTCATCATTTCTCAGCACGTTAGTCATAGGCTAAGGGTAAGTTACTAATTGTCTGCCTTATTACGTGCCTCTGTTCGAAGGATGATTTCTTTCGTTTTCCTTCAGTTCCTGTTCAAAATTAATATGCATTGGCCAAAAGAAAAGCTATAATATATGTGGTTGCTGAAAGACGTGTTTGGTTGCAGCTTTTCAAGATGGAAGATGTGAGCATGGGAATGTGGGTTGAGCAATTCAACAGCACCACAGCAATTGTCCAATACTCCCATAACTGGAAGTTTTGTCAGTACGGGTGCATGGAGAACTACTTCACCGCACATTACCAATCGCCAAGGCAAATGATCTGTCTTTGGGACAAGTTGGCTAGAGGTCAAGCTCAATGCTGTAACTTCCGATGACACTGAGCCGTCTAATTCATACAAGTAGATTGCAGCACTCTTCACCCTTCTTTCTGGTATCCTCACGCTTGTGCCGGTTTTTATCTACTAGTTTCAATTGAAAGTACAAGCTCCTAACGATGAATCGTGATAAATGATTGTTGTCAAAAAATGAATCATCGAAGAGTAGTATAGATTGTGTTGTAAAATGGGATGATTGACAAATTCTCCTTGTACCACTAGATTGTAATTATGCTCAAAATCTTGAGATTTAACAAAAGACGTAGAATGTCTTATCCATTTGTCGTTGAGCAAAATTGCACCTGCCATCTCGATCATAAAACTAGTAGTCACCATATACCATAGCATCATATGCAGCATTTCGCTTCGATGTGAACAGATTTTGCATTCGAATTTTGAGTAACATTGTGTTTCAAATACTTATTTTTATCAACATGTGAAGTTTTTTTGTTGAGATAAAGTGGATTTCAAATAAGGAAAATGTGTTTTTCTTTTTCCACCATCTTTTTTCGTTATACAAATTTTGTTCTCTTCAAATTCAGTGTATATAAAACGTGCCAAATTTTGCTACTTAACATTATGGTTGTAAGTGGGAGATTTTAAGTTTGACCTCGTGAATGGCGAGTTCGATATCAATTTATTATGAATGACCAATTCTACAGTATACCGGTGTATTTGATGCACTTTATGGATGGCTGGATAGAAATGTTTAAATTAAATACAAAAATTCAAACATCCACCAAAACAATGTATCTCATCCACGGGTGCATTTTAGAACTCTCGAATAGAATATCGTTGTGTATTTATATTAAAAAAGCATTCCAAGGTAACGGGACAAAAAAATCAACCACTGTGTAACTAGGTCAAGCTTTAGTTTTGGTGCGGAAATTAATCTCCGCCAGGGGAGAAAGTCTTTTGCCTTCAACTATCAAAATATAAATTGGTGCCCGAAAGCGAAGCCATGCAAAGCACAAGCAATCTAGAACAACGTTCCCAAAAACATGGAGGAAAACCAAAGAAGCATTGAAAATATTGTGTCAGCTAGGAGTTTGATGAATTTCATTCCCCTCCAAATGACTCTAGAAGCTGCCATTGAGCTAAATGTCTTCAGCATCATTGCCAAATCAGGCCCTACAGGATCTCATCTCACTGCAAAAGAAATCGCTTCCCAAATTCCGACTTTGAATCCGAATTCAGCCCGGAATTTGGACAGAATACTAAGAATGCTGGCCGTCCATTCCCTCCTCTCGACCTCTCTAAAACCGTCTGCGGACAATGAGGCATTGCAAGACAGGGCTTATGGCCTCACAAAGGAGACACTTTGCTTGGTGCCGGATGAAAATGGAGTCTCATTAGCTCCATTGATTAGTTTCAACTGTGAGCTTGACATTGTGAAGAGCCTTTCCATGCTCAAGGATTCCGTGCTCGAACCGGAGATTGTGCCCTTCCACAAGGCTCATGGAACCACCATATTTGAGTACATGTCCACGAAAGCTGAGCTGAGCCAGTTGTTTAATAAGTCCATGGCAGAGAGTTCTAACCTAAATTTTGATGAGGTGTTGAAGGTTTATAAAGGTTTTGAAGAGGTGAAAGAGTTGATGGATGTTGGAGGTGGAATTGGAAAAACGATTTGGAAAGTAGTTTCCAAGTATCCCCACATCCATGGAATTAACTTCGATTTGCCTAATGTTGTTGCTCAAGCTCCTCCTTACCAAGGTTAGTAACTTAGTATCGTCAATTAATTAGAAAATAGATTTTATAATCTCGTCTTTTTTTTTTCCTTCACTTGTTTAAAGGAAGAAGATTACACTCAATTATGGATGAGAACGTCTTAAGTAGTGTCAGGAGGGTCCTCAAACCATAATAGATCTTTGTTAATACTAAACTTGACTTTAATATGACATATGTATCACACATAAAATTTCCTCCTTTATTCCTTATAGATTAATAATGAAACTAAAAGATTAGAAGGCAGTCGGTTTATTTTTTTATATACAAACACTGAGTCTCGCTTGCAATAATAAATAATCGTAACAACTTAAATTAAAAGCCTCTTACTTTGGAAAAAAAGAAAAAAAAAAAGAAAAGAATTATAAGCCTCTTGCCGGATACGATTATTTAGTTGTTATCATCATCTCATGTACACTTCTTAATATTAATCAATTTGACCCCTTATTTGGTTATATAAATCATTATAAATACATGCAGGTGTGAATCATATCGGTGGAAATATGTTTGAGACCATACCAAATGCACAATCAATTATGCTGAAGGTATGCATGGTTTGCTTCTAGCTTGTACTCGTTTTAATTGTTCTTTTTTTTCCCATGAATTATTGAAAATTAATTTATCATCAACCCTGATATAATCTTATACATGGTTTTCACTTTCAGTGGGTGCTCCACAACTGGGAAGACGACCGGTGCAAGAAATTATTGAAAAGCTGTTGGGAGGCATTACCAAAAAATGGGAAGGTGATAGTTGTGGAATTTACAATTCCAGAAGTATTGGAGAATACTAAAGCAGTGCTGAACATAGTAACGTTGGACATCTCAATGATGGCATTGCCTGGTGGTAGAGAAAGAACAACTGCTGAATTTGATAACTTAGCAAAATCTGTGGGTTTTGTGGAAACAACGATTTTTCCAATCGCACAGGGGATTTGTGTTATGGAATTTCTCAAGAGGGAAGAAGCATGATACAAATAGTAAACAAAACAATGCGTCTTGGTTTATATTTTTTTATTCTGCAGTAGTCTATTATCTTCAGGTACATTAATTGCTACTGTATCTATTTTTCTAATCACGTGCATGATCTAGTTTTGAAATGAGCAGAAGATTAGTTTATAAAAACTAATGAAAATAATTTGAAAACTTTGAGTTTTAATAATAAGGACAAAATAAAGGGTAAAGTGAATAGGTACTATGATTGACTTTTTAACAGTAAAAATGTGATTTTTCATTAAAGTGATCAGTACCAAAAGTTTTTCGTTAAAGTTCCCTAGTTTATATCTTTTTTTTAATTCTTTTGTCTGAAAACTGTTGCTATATACAAAATACTAATTAAATACACATTATTCAATCTATAATATATATAGAACCCATTAAAACATGACCCTTTTTAATAGATAATACTCGAGTACTACTCACATTTTAATTTTGTGCAATGATATTTTAACACATGTTTAATTGTTATAAAAAGAGTAAATTATAGCAATTATCTCTTAACTTTAACTTAATTGGAGCAATGATCCATCAATTAAAAATCAATTACCATTGGTCCCTCAACTCAGCAAAACGTGTAGTTATGGTCCCTCAACTAAAAATTCATTACCATTAGTCCAACTTTAATTCAACTGGAGAAATGGTTCCTCAACTTTAACCCAATTGGAGTAATGGTATCTCAACTTTAACCCAATTAGAGCAATGGTCCCTCAACTTTAACCCAATTGTAGCAATAGTCTTTCCAACATAATTCATTTTGACAAAATTCTAACGAAGTTGACGAAAATGACCGTAGCTACACTTTTTCATGAGTTGAGGGACTCTAATTGTAGCAATAGTCCTTCAAATATAACTTATTTTGACAAAATTCTAATGAAGTTGATGAAAAGAACCTTAGCTACGCATTTTGATGAGTTGAGGGACCAATGGTAATGAATTTTTAGTTGAAGGACCATTGCTCCAATTTACTCTTATAAAAAATAATGGACATGTTATTAATTTTTCTTTGGGATTAATTAAAAAGAAAAACGTGACATTTTTTTATTGAGCCAAATCAAAAAGTGAGTATTCATTGATAATACCTAAGTATTTTCCTGTTCAGTAAGCAAAATTTCTACTCAAACTAAATTAAGGAGTGGAAAGATAATTTGAATCTGAAACACAATAAGTTAAACAGACAAATCATAATCACTGCAATAATCCACCATTCATGCCTTGCATTAGACATGCCCTAATCTATAATTCTTTAAAATCTTCAACGCTGGTGACAACCTTTCATTTCGTGGCTACCTCTAGCTAGTCCAATGCCCACTTGAATTCGTTGATATATATTAATTAGGGATGTGTAGTCCATGAATTTGCCAAATATTACACGAAATGTTGGTGAATTTGCTAAAAGTCGTGGCTAGTTACACGAAATTAAGGGTGATAAATATACCCCTTACTAATGGTCTTACATGTGGGGGTCCTTAATTTCTTCTCCCTTACTAATGCTCTAACGGTATTCTACCTTCAACATTCCATGGACAATGTTTGAGAGTTTCCATCCATTCCTTCCAATTTGTCTTGAGTTTGGTGGGTATTTTTTGTCAAAGAGTTTGAGACGAAGACTTGGAAAGAGACTTTAAGGAAAGATATGGAGTACTTGGAACTAACAAAAGATATATCGCAAAACCGAGCGCTGTGATGTTCTATAATCCATATAGCTGACCTCGATTACCTAGTGAGATAAGACTTAATTGTTGTTGTTGTAAAGAGTTTGGTGAGTAATCTACCTAAAAACCTACTATTCTTGGAGGCCATATATGGTTAGGCGCCCCTTAGCTAAACCCAGCTGGCTAGCTAGACACGCTCACCCACTTTTTTCCGTTCAAAACGACGTGTATCATGCATGCAAGTGTATCTGTGTATATAGAGAACTGATGCTCGGAGCCAAAATAAACAAGGCAATCCAACAAACTAAAATTGACTGAGAGCTTGAAAAATCCAAAAAAAAAAAAGATGGAAAGCCAGGGATTAAGTTTAGAAAATTACATCTCAGCTTTGGGTTTGACAAATTCCATCTGCAATCAAATGGTTCTAAGAGCCGCAGTTGACCTAAATGTCTTCAATATCCTTTCCAACTCAGGGCCTGGAGCTCATCTTACTGTGGAGGAAATCGCTTCTCGAATTCCGACTGACAAATCATCCAAATGCAATTTTGAGTTTGGAGAGAATGCTAAGATTTCTGAGTGTCAATTCCCTCCTATCTACATCTCTAAGACCATGCCCAAATGATAAATCCAAGCAAGAAAGGACTTATGCCCTAACAAAGGACACACTTTGTTTAGTGTCCAATGAGAGTGGAGTTTCTCTAGCCCCAATACTAAAGCTGTCATCTGAAATGGCCACTGTGAAGAGCTTGTACATGCTCAAGCACTGCGTGCTTGAAGAGGGGTGCGATACTTTCTACAAGGCCCACGGAGAGACTACGTTCGAGCATATGTCGAAGAGACCTGAGCTTGGTCGATTGTTCAGTGACGCTATGACCGCTTACTCTGCTATATGTTTTGATCAAAAGGTATTCACTGACTACAGAGGTTTTGAAGAGGTGACAGAGCTGATGGACGTAGGAGGTGGCGTGGGTAATTCTCTTGCGAAAATAGTATCTAAATATCCCTACATCCATGGTATTAACTTTGATTTGCCTGATGCTATTGCCCGTGCTCCTAAATATCAAGGTTAGTATATCCAAAGAGTACCGAAAACTGAAAACCAATTAGAAATTAACGTACGAAAGTGGTTTTCGGTTTTTGGTTTTCAAAATTTGGCTTGATTTAAGTTCTCTATTTTCATTTTTTCAAAAAGTGAAAACAGTTACGATACAAATTTTTGGAAAAAAAACAAAAATTGAAATAGAAAACTGAAAACTAAAACAAAAATATAAAGAATTGGCTAAAGCTGAAATACTAAAACAAATAGCCTTTAACTCAGCTCACACACTTTCTTATTTGAATTATGGTCCAAATGCAACAGCTACAGATCCTATTTAACTATTAGTTGGCTCACGTTCTTTACTGATTTCATTTAGGTGTGAAGCATGTTGCGGGAAATATGTTTGAGTCAATACCACATGCCCAGTCGATAATGATGAAGGTTCGGTTTTGCTTTTAGTATTTATCGAAGAAAATGTTAGCGGGATTACATTTTACCATCTCTTTAATAGAGATGACCTTTGTTCATATTAAAAAAGTAGTATGATGTGGTGGTCGTCTCCTTAGCATTACTCTTCATCAAAACCTACTTCATGCATGTTCACAATATGAAAATTTGATTTACCCTTGTGCTTTGCAGTGGGTACTTCATAACTGGGCTGATGACGTGTGCATTAAGTTGCTGAAAAACTGTTGGAATGCGTTACCGGAAACTGGGAAGGTAATAGTTGTGGAATTTGTAGTACCTGAAGTACTGGAAAATACACCAGAAACAAGGAACAAACTCGTACTAGACATGACGATGATGGCCCTTTTTCCTGGGGGCAAGGAGCGAACAGCAGTTGAATTTGATAACCTAGCAAAATCTGCAGGTTTTGTTGGAACAAAGCTTTTTCCAATTTCATATGGATATCATGCGATTGAGTTTATCAAGGGTAAACCATTTTAAAAGTAGTGTGCATCTGTGTGACATCTCTTCCCTTTAAAATGTGCTAGATCTCGGGTTTCCTTGGTCCTAAAATAAACTCTTGTACTACAAAAAAATTATGAAACTGATAATCAAATAATAGTTTTTGTTACGTATTTGCATGGTAGGTGATACATATTTCGTTTATGTCATAGAATTATTCTGTAATTTAAGATTTCTCCCGAGTAAGAGCACCAAGTGTCATTATTTGAATCATGTGTTCGACGAACACACTCAATGGTCGCTTTGAAAAATCTGGGAAGTTAAAAGAGTAATTAAATCAAGTTAATAGCTACTAAGAAATAGTAAGTACAATAATCAACTCCAAACTACAAGAAAGCAAGGAAGCAGGGGTGTTTTTGTGTGTGCGCCGTAGGATTCAGGTGGTTGGGACGACCGACTGTAGAATTTGTCCAATTGCTGGTAAAGCTATATATAGCTTTTTATTAAATCTTAGTAATGCGAGAAAAATTTATTGATATAAAAAATACAAGTTACACTTAGTGAAATAATAAAAATCTTACCTCTCATAAAATTAGAAACGATGAGGGAACAAAAACTTAACTCTTCTTGAAACTTGAAGAGAATAATTACAAGAAAAAAGAGGGAACAAAGGACCAAAACTCCTCTAATACAAAACTTAGAAGTCACTGCAGCCAAGCGACAACCAACAAACCATATTAAAAAAAAAAAAAAAAAGATTAACGGAAAAAATAGAAGTACAACGTAGTTTCTTCTATATAATGCACCTGCATAATCAAGTATCAGTCTCACCACGTAAAACAACTAAAATAGGATGGAAAGATATCCTCTTTGGATCTCTTCCATCAAGACCATCAAATACAGTGATCCGGACCCTTGAAATTTGATCAAACGGCTAAAATTATTATAACTTTTAAAAGAGGGCCCTGTTTTTAGCCGTTGGATCAAATTTTAAGAATACAGATCATTTAATCTGGTGACCTTGGTGGAAGAGATCCAGAGAGTTTCTCTTTCAAAATAGGATCCCACTTTTCTTGTGTCATACTGGTGTGCCATCATTTGGGCCACAAAGAATAGGACTGCAATGCATTATTAAAGGAGCTTACTAGAATGGAACCCCACTTATCCTGTATTTTTCAGTGTATTTGGAACACAGAATAATACGTCACGTATCACTATATAAGTAGTGAGATACTTGTATTAAAAGTTAATAACATGAACAATAAAACTTTCTTTTACTTATATAATGACACGTGATGTACTACTCATATTTGAAGCACAATAAAAAATTTCTCACAGGTAGTTTTCGTTGATTTTTGTGGGATCAAATAATTGGAAAGCTTTCCAGTGTGCTTGCTTATGAACCAAGGAAGCAATCATTGTTTTTATATTGAATCATAACATACAATAAATCAGGTAATAGTATTAAGTACAGTTGCTCACATGCATGCAAGCATAAATGAGTTTAACCGCTAATGTATTGAAGAGTTTGATGCATCCACCGTAACAATTCAGATGAATCGTCGATCACTCACATAATTAACATATTATAAAACCTGTGAGTGGCATACGATTTTCATCTGTTACTACGGTTGAAAATTGGTCCTTATAATATATTTACCATTTTGGCTATTTAGCCTCAATATAACCCTGACTAATGGTCTTACATGCGGGGGTCCTTCATTTCTTCTCCCTTACTAATGCTCTAACGGTATTCTACCTTCAACATTCCATGGACAATGTTTGAGAGTTTCCATCCATTCCTTCCAATTTGTCATGAGTTTGGTGGGTATTTTTTGTCAAAGAGTTTGAGACAAAAACTTGGAAAGAGACTTTAAGGAAAGATATGGAGTACTTGGAGCTAACAAAATATATATCGCAAAACTGAATGCTGTGATGTTCTATAATCCATATAGCCGACCTCACATAGTGAGATAAGACTTAATTGTTGTTGTTGTAAAGAGATTGGTGAGTTATCTACCTAAAAACCTACTATTCTTGGGGGCCATATATGGTTAGGCGCCCCTTAGCTAAACCCAGCTGGCTAGACATGCTCACCCACTTTTTTGCGTTCAATACGACGTCTATCATGCATGCAAGTGTATCTGTATATATAGAGAACTGATGCTCGGAGCCAAAATAAACAAGGCAATCCAACAAACTAAAATTGACTGAGAGCTTGAAAAATCCAAAAAAAAAAAAAAAAAAAAAAAAAGAAGATGGAAAGCCAGGGATTAAGTTTAGAAAATTACATCTCAGCTTGGGGTTTGACAAATTCCATCTGCAATCAAATGGTTCTAAGAGCTGCAGTTGACCTAAATGTCTTCAATATCCTTTCCAACTCAGGGCCTGGAGCTCATCTTACTGTGGAGGAAATCGCTTCTCGAATTCCGACTGCAAATCATCCAAATGCAATTTTGAGTTTGGAGAGAATGCTAAGATTGCTGAGTGTCAATTCCCTCCTATCTACATCTCTAAGACCATGCCCAATTGGTAAGTCCAAGCAAGAAAGGACTTATGCCCTAATAAAGGACACACTTTGTTTAGTGTCCAATGAGAGTGGAGTTTCTCTAGCCCCAATACTAAAGCTATCATCTGAAATGGTCCCTGTGAAGAGCTTGTACATGCTCAAGCACTGCGTGCTCGAAGAGGGGTGCGATCCTTTCTACAAGGCCCATGGAGAGACTACGTTCGAGCATATGTCGAAAAGACCTGAGCTTGGTCGATTGTTCAGTGAGGCTATGACCGTTTACTCTACTATATGTTTTGATCAAAAGGTATCACTGAATATAGAGGTTTTGAAGAGGTGACAGAGGTGATGGATGTAGGAGGTGGCATGGGTAATTCGCTTGCGAAAATAGTATCTAAATATCCCTACATCCATGGTATTAACTTCGATTTGCCTGATGCTATTGCCCGTGCTCCTAAATATCAAGGTTAGTATATCCAAAGAGTACCGAAAACTGAAAACCAATTAGAAATTAACGTACGAAGGTGGTTTTCGGTTTTTGGTTTTCAAAATTTGGCTTGATTTAAGTTTTCAATTTTCATTTTTTGAAAAAATGAAAACAGTTACGATACAAATTTTTGGAAAAACAAAAATTGAAATAGAAAATTGAAAACTAAAACCAAAATATAAAGAATTGGCTAAAGCTGAAATACTTAATCAAATAGCGTTTAATTCAGCTCACACACTTTCTTATCTGAATTATGGTACAAATGCAACAGCTACAGATCTTATTTAACTATTAGTTGGCTCACGTTCTTTACTGATTTCATTTATATATAGGTGTGAAGCATGTTGCAGGAAATATTTTTGAGTCAATACCACTTTGCTCAGTCGATAATGTTGAAGGTACGGTTTTGCTTACTTTTAGTATTTATCAAAGAAAATGTTAGCGGGACTATATTTTACCATCTCTTTAATAGAGATGACCTCTGTTCGTATTAAAAAAGTAGTACAATGTGGTCGTTGTCCCCTTAGCATTACCCTTCATCAAAACCTACGTCATGCATGTTCACAATATTATGCTTTGCAGTGGGTACTTCATAACTGGGCTGATGACGTGTGCATTAAGTTGCTGAAAAACTGTTGGAATGCGTTACCGGAAACTGGGAAGGTAATAGTTGTGGAATTTGTAGTACCTGAAGTACTGGAAAATACACCAGAAACAAGGAACACACTCGCACTGGACATGACGATGACGGCCCTTTTTCCTGGGGGCAAGGAGCGAACAGCAGTTGAATTTGATAACCTAGCAAAATCTGCAGGTTTTGTTGGAACAAACCTTTTTCCAGTTTCATATGGATATCATGCGATTGAGTTTATCAAGGGTAAACCATTCAAGAAGTAGTATGCATCTGTGTGTTTACTTATGCACCCAACAAGATCCTCTCCGGATCTTTTTGGCGAGGATCCTGATTCATGAATCATGTCTGTTCATCGTATATCGTGTGATCAGTTTTTATCAAGTATTGTTTGTGTTTAATTTTAAATAAAAATATTTAAAATAATTTCTGATTGCATGATATACGATGAACGGACATGAATGACGAATTCCCGAGATCCTCACAAAGAAGATCCGGCGAAGATCCAGGTCTATATACACCACATCTCCTTCCTTTAGAATGTGCTAGATCTTGGGTTTCTTTGATCCTAAAATAAACTCTTGTATTACGAAAAATTTATCAAACTGATAATCAAATAATAGTTTTTGTTATGTATTTGCATGATAAATGATACATATTTCGTTAACGTCGTAGTATTATTCTGTAATTTAAGATTTCTCCTGAGTAAGGGCACCAAGTGTCATTATTTGAATCATGTGTTCGACGAACGCACTCAATGGTCGCTTTGAAAAATCTGGGAAGTTAAAGAGTCATTATATCAAGTTAATAGCTACTAAGAGATAGTACAATAATCAACTCCAAACTACAAGAAAGCAAGGAAACAGGGATGTTTTTGTGTGCGCGCAGTAGGATTTAGGTGGTTGGGATTGGATCTACTAACTGTAGAATTTGTCCAATTGCCGGGAAAGCTATGTATAGCATTTTATTAAATCTCAGTGGTACGAGAAAAAATTATTAATATAAAAAATACAATTTTCACTTAATTAAAAAGAACAAAAATCTTACCTCTCATAAATTAAAAACGAAGAGGGAACAAAAACTTGATTCTTCTTGAAACTTGAAGAAAATAAATACTAAGAAAAGAGGGGAAAGGGACCAAAACTCCTCTAATACATAACTTAGAAGTCACTGCAGCCAAGCGACCATCAACCAAAAAAAAAAAAAAAAAAAAAAAAAAAAAAAAAAAAAAAAAGACTACTTTAACGAAAAAAAGGAAGTACAATGTAGTTTCTTCTGCATAATCAGGTATATCGGTCCCACCACGTACAACAACTAAAATAGGATCCCACTTTTCTTGTGTCTGACTGGTGTGTCATGATTTGAGCCACAAAGAATAGGACTGCAATGCATTATTGAAAGAGCTTACTAGAATGGAACCCCACTTTTCTTGTATTTTACGAGAAATTTTTAAGTAGGTTTGGAACATAGGATGATACGTTACGTGTTATTATACAATGATGAGGTATTTGTGTTAAAAATTAATAATATAAAAAGTAAAACTTTTTTTTACTTATATAATAATACGTGATGTAGTATTCATTTTTCGAAAACTTCTCGTGTTTCACAGGTAGTTTTCATTGATTTTTGTGGGATCAATAATTGGAAAGCCTTCCAGTCTGCATGCTTATCAACCAAGGAAGCAATCATTGTTTTCATATTGAAATCATAACGTACAATAAATCAGCTAATATTGTTAAGTACAGTTGCTCGCATGCATGCAAGCATAAATGAGTTTAACAGCTAATGTATTGAAGAGTTTGATGAATCCAACCGTAACAATACAGATGAATCGTCGACCTCTCACATAATTAACATATTATAAAATATGTGAGTGGCATACGACTTTCATCTGTTCTTACGGTTGGAAATTGGTCCTTGTAATATTTACTATTTTTAACACAACCTAGGTAGAACTCGCCACATCGATAGGTGGGTCGAACTCCATCAGTCCAGTCCTCCTCATACTATAGAACTGTCCTTCTCAACCTCCATCCTGCTCCCACGTGTAACGGCCCCACGAGTCCCCTGTGCACCGCGTGGCATCAAATCACAATCTTTAAGCCCTGCAAAGACCGACAAAACGAATACGCGGAAACAACACTGACTCGTATCGGACAAAAACAGAAATAAATCACCTTATCCGAAACTGGGTCCCTCCACGTCAGTTGGGACCTTTGTAACGGATTGCGTTACGAACGCGCAACGGTCAAAAGTCACGTACACTGTTTGTCGGCAGAATACTTGTGATGACACGTGTTGGCTGGCATTTAAGACGACTGGTTTGCGTTTGAGGCGGAATACAGAGGTCAAAGGTCACCTAATTCATCAGATGACAGCGTTTACCTTTCGCGATCTTTTTTTCTTTTTTTTTAAACAAATAATATTATCTATATTAAATAAAAGTTGATTTAAACTTGTATTTGACGAGAATTGAATTTAAAATTTTTAACTTACAAGTGAAAAAAAATTCCACTAAATAATAATACTAAGTGACTAAAATCGAAATTTTACAGACCCAAACATTGAACAGCAGCTTTCGATATCTGCAAGACCTGAATAAATTGACAAAATAAAAATATTTAGATTATTATTATTATTGTTTTATTGTAAAAAAAAGATAGAATTTTATTAAATTATTGGAAAAGAAGATCTTGAATCTCATATTTCTACCCTGCCAAATAGAGGTAAGGGCGATTTTGTGGACACTCCAAAGTAGGGCTGAAAAAAATGAACCCGACCGAATCATATCGAAACCCGACATATAAAAAGAAAAAAACAAACCGCACCGATATTATCTTGTGGACACTCCAAAGTAGGGCTGAAAAAAAAAAACAAAAAAAGGAACCCGACCGAGTCATATCGAAATCCGACTTAAAAAAAAAAAAAAAAAATCGAATCGATATTATCGAATCATTTGGTAACTGAAATTAAACATTCTTGAAACATCGGTATTGAAATTAGGATCACCGACGTAAGTTCGGTGATATCGAACCGAAGTGAATGTAATAAAAAATATACATACATGAAATTAGGAATTTTGAAAAGAAATGAGGGTTTTTTTTTTTTTTTTCTCCAAAGAGTAGAATATTATTAGACACGAATTGAAATGTTTACATCATGTACCAGAATATTAAACAACCACTTCGGTTTAAAACAATCCCACCTATGACCCACATGCGTGACGTGAGTTGCCACCAAATGCGAAGCTCCATTACAAGAGCGAGGGATGAAAAGAAACTCAACTGAACTTTGGTGATTTTGAATTGGAATTATGGTTTTCGACTTGGGGATTTTGAGATTGAAGTAGGGTTTTCGAATTGCGGTTGAATTTTAGAATTTAAGGGTTTAAGAATTTGATAGTTGATGTCATTTCTTGTGTTGCAGAAGCTGTTTCTAAAATTTGAAACCTCATGCAATTTGAAGCATTTTGAAACCTCCTGTAATTTCTCCTTCTTATTTTTCAATGGGACCCTAAAAATTCTGTACTTTTCTTGCATTCCTCCACTTCTCACATTATTATTTTCTTTAGAGTTATTAATACCAAGTTAGTATATATAAGAAGAAGAAAAAAAGAGCTATTTGACACAATTTAATCCCAAAACCTATATGATTAAAATGAACCCAAAAGATAAATGTCCAAAGGCTGTTTGACATAATGCAATCGTAGAAATGGGTGTTAGTAGTGGAAAGGGTACATGTTTTCCTTAACACGAAACACTTCAAATACCAATTATGGGTTTAACTTTGATTAAAAAAATCTCACAAATATAACTGTTTGATGCCAATACAGAAAGCGGTAGAATTTTCTTCCTTTCTAATCTCTCTTCCTTTCTCTCTTCCTATTTAAATGTTACGATTAAAACACGTTAACATCTTACTTTGAATTATTTATACAGAAAAAAAAAAACAACAAAAGAGTATAAGGGAATGAAAGAGAAAGATGATAAAAGAAGAGTAAAGAATCCACCCACATACATAAAGAAACAGAATCACAAAAGATTGTTTTTTAAGTCGAAAAAGCACTTGACCGACCTCACTCACCAAACACTATCTTCAATCCAAATTATGAAAAGTCACGTTGAAGGGCCAGCCATTTCCACTGCATTACCCACATATTATTCTTCTTTCGTAAATGATTTCGACTCTTATTGCCGACGAATTTTATATCTAATTATGATAATTTATTCAGTAATTTAGTTAAAATCTCAACCCAAATGTCTTTCCACAATTTTTTTTTGTTTTTTTTTTGTTTTAAAAAAGATAATGAAAGACCCTAAAGTTTAAATTGATAAGGAAAATACTTAGCTCATTACTTTTACAATGTAAATTGCGTAAGTATACGCATTACGGTCAAGTGATATTCCTGTTGAGGGTATGAATCTCACACTAGAGATATGAGGGACCTTGCATGTGCTTATAAGTAATCGAGTGACTCCCTATACTGCCAATTCGTTTTATGGTGGAACCTCAACTTTCTTTAATTCCTCTTCATTTGAAAGTGTGAGGTCTTATGTTCAATTCTCGCTATAGATAAATTTGAACTAATTTTTTTATACCTAAATCATTGTGAAGTTGAGTTCATACACTTACTCTTTAGTGTAAATAAGATTTTATGTTTTTATAAGTATGTGTTAATTAGTGATTTACAATGCATGTGAAATACCTCTGCAAACCAAAATTCTAATATGCTTATGTGTATAGCATAATGAAAAAAATTAACTTATACCTCATCTTTTAATTAATTTCTCAATTCATGCTGACAAGAGAGTGGCTTTACGCTTGCCACGTTAGTAGTTTAACAATCAAATTGATGAATTTTCTAATAAATGTATAACATTAAAACGAAAAGCTCTATACAAAACATCAATATCAATACATAATTGTACCTATCATCTTTTTTTTTTTTTTTTCGGAAACACAGTGTCTCCCAATCTCTCATAATAAAATGTAATTACTCCACATAATTAAAAACTTGTACAATGCAATTTTTGTTTGTCCATCTGATACTGACCGTTCATTATTTAAATTAATATGTGTCGATATCATTGGATGAACAAATTATATCCGTGTAAACATAATCAACGGTACGTGAACCGTTTCACACATAAAGTTTTAAATATATTTTAAGGCTCAGATGGAGCCACACCAATTTAATGGAATTTTATAGTGATTGTGATGCATTCTATTCCTACTTTTGTCAGTTCAACTGAAGCACTTCAATTACTGTCCCTCAAAAATAAAAGAGGTGCATTTTTCTCGTCATTCTCAAGTGATAATGATATTTATTATTATTAAATGTGTTTAAATTTTAAGATTTATATCTATTCATTAAATATATCTTAAAATTTATACTCCGCATAACAATTTTTAACAAAAATATTCCCAAAATAAAAGTACCAACTAATCAAAAGGGCCCCACAACTTGCCGATCATGCTTTTAAGATATTTGTAACTTCACAACCACCAAAAGCTATCAACGTTCCTTGCTTGAATTCTCTCCCTCACCCTCCTCCTCCC